ACATGTGCGGACATTCCAGCCAACCGTTTTCATAGGCTGTCTCATCGTTGTTGGTAACTTGTCCCGTGTAGCTCAGTTGGTAGAGCATGGCGTTTGCAACGGGGGGCCAGTATGAAAATGTATGCACTCACTAACTGTAAGTCGCTCTGGATAAGAGCGTCTGCTAAATTACTAAAATGTAAATGTAGTCTCCCAGTCCCTGCTGCTGAAAAATATCCCCACAGCATGATGCTGCCACCACCATGCTTCACCGTAGGGATGGTGCCAGGTTTCCTCCAGACGTGACGCTTGGCATTCAGGCCAAGTAGTTAAATCTTGGTTTCATCAGAGCAGAGAATCTTGTTTCTCATGGTCTGAGAGTCTTTAGGTGCCTTTTGGCAAACTCCAAGTGGGCAGTCATGTGCCTTTTACTGAGGAGTGGCTTCCGTCTGGCCACTCTACCATAAAGGCCTGATTGGTGGAGTGCTGCAGAGATGGTTGTCCTTCTGGAAGGTTCTCCCATCTCCACAGAGGAACTCTGGAGCTCTGTCAGAGTGACCATCGGGTTCTTATTCACCTCCGTGACCAAGGCCCTTCTCCCCCGATTGCTCAGTTTAGACGGTCGGCCAGCTCTAGGAAGAGTCTTGGTGGTTCCAAAATTCTTCTGTTTAAAAATGATGGAGGGCACTGTGTCCTTGGGGACCTTCAATGCTGCAGAATGTTTTGGGTACCCTTCCCCAGATCTGTGCCTCGTCATAATCCTGTCTCTGAGCTCTACGGACAATTCCTTCAACATCATGGATTGGTTTTTGCTTTGACATGCTCTGTCAACTGTGGGACCTTATATAGACAGGTGTGTGCCTTTCCAAATCATGTCCAATCAATTGAATTTACCACAGGTGGACTCCAATCAAGTTGTAGAAACATCTCAAGGATGTCAATGGAAACAGGATGCACCTGAGCTCAATTTAGAGTCTCATAGCAAAGGGTTGGAATACTTCTGTAAATAAGGTATTTTTTTAATTATTATTTTATACATTTTCAAGAAATTCTAAAAAACTGTTTTTGCTTTGTCATTATGGGCTATTGTTTGTAGATTGCTGATGATTTTTATTTAATCTGTTTTAGAATAAGGCTGTAACGTAACAAAATGTGGAAAAAGTCAAGGGGTCTGAGTACTTTCGAAAGGCACTGTATCCAAATCCGCGTGATCAAAACAATCTTGTAAAGTCCATTATTCTACTTAAGTGTATGAATTAGGCTGTTTGACAAGGTTTGAATCCTAAGCAACCTGCATACACATAGCTTGGAATACAATAGACCAATATAGCTACTGTAGTAGGTCAAAGTTGTGTGCTGGAAAACCTTGGTGGAGCAGTATGCATGGTGGTGAAACCCTTGGTGGAGCAGTATGCAGGGTGGTGAAAACCTTGGTGGAGCATGGGTGGAGTATGCATGGTGGTGAAAACCTTGGTGGAGCATGGGTGGAGTATGCATGGTGGTGAAAACCTTGGTGGAGCATGGGTGGAGTATGCATGGTGGTGAAAACCTTGGTGGAGCATGGGTGGAGTATGCATGGTGGTGAAAACCTTGGTGGAGCATGGGTGGAGTATGCATGGTGGTGAAAACCTTGGTGGAGCATGGGTGGAGTATGCATGGTGGTGAAAACCTTGGTGGAGCATGGGTGGAGTATGCATGGGGTGAAAACCTTGGTGGAGCATGGGTGGAGTATGCATGGTGGTGAAAACCTTGGTGGAGCATGGGTGGAGTATGCATGGTGGTGAAAACCTTGGTGGAGCATGGGTGGAGTATGCATGGTGGTGAAAACCTTGGTGGAGCATGGGTGGAGTATGCATGGTGGTGAAAACCTTGGTGGAGCATGGGTGGAGTATGCATGGGGTGAAAAACAGCAGGTTTTCCAGAGGGAAGAGAAAAACCAGAAATCCATTTAAGCCAATTTGGAGGAAACTGGGAAACATTTTTACAAGACAATCGAACAAGCTTCTGGAAAATACACAAATAATCAACATGTAGCCTACCCATTAACTATTTACTTACATTATTGACTGGCACATTAGGTTGCTCGGATAGCAATGCATGAAGTGGCACAAATTGATCAGTGTTTTGCGTCAGCAGAGGGCCTATGCTACTTCTCCTCTTGACATCCTAGTCATCCACCTCAGTGAAAACGACTTGTAATACACCAAGGGGACGGCACTGGTGTGGCAGATGCACGGATTTAGAAGTGCTTTGAGGTGGTCATCCGAATGTTTCCTGGTACAGTAAGTGGTCTTCTCCATTAGAACCAGAAGATAAACAAGTGCATAGACAGGGCCCTGCGCTCCCTCAATCAGCTGGTGTATGCATTTCAGGGAACACAATCCGCCACCCTGCCTTTAAGCAACGTGTCCCTGGGATGTACCGTAGGGTTGGAGTGCATCTGACGGATGAGGGCTAATGACGTATTCCTTGAGTGTTGAGTGTGGGTCTCTTCAGTCTCCACCGTTCTCCCCTCCATAGTAATAAGAGCAGTAGTACACATCACACTCCCTGTCCATTGCCACTCAACAATGCTCTTTTAAAATAAGCACCCAACGTGGTCGAAATGTCTCCTCCGAGAGGTGAACCCAGGACCTTCAGATCCCGTGGCAGTGAGGTTAACGCTTTACCCTGTCATGAACGCATTTTCTTGACACTCTATTTACTGTAAATGGACAGTCTGGTGATGACAGGAAGCTTTTGTTGTTGTTTATTCACTCAGTACTGATTGAACGTTTATTTATCTTGCTTGGTATTTTTTTTTTTGTCTTTAAACAGTTGATGTGTTTAAAACGGTCACATTGCTAACCAAGTTAGCAAGCATGGCGTTTTCTTTTGAATGTGCAAAGGTCGCACAAGCAAGCAACGATGTTGGTGTTGAATGCAAGAATGTGCACCGGCACCTCCTTGGCTACTTTTTACTTGGATGGCGACTTCAGGTTTTCGGGTATACATTGAAAAGTAACTTGACACTGTGTTAATCGGTCAGCACAAATTTGGATTATAATGAGAAGAGGAAAATTGCATTGACAGAGGAGGGAGCGTACTGAATCAATGCATAAGGGAAGGTCTGTAACGTTAGCTAACCTCATTGCTAAGCAAGCCAGGTTGACTAGTATATGGAGTAACGTTAGCTAAAGGTAATGTTAGATGAGCAATGCCCATTGCATGTATTATACATTAGCAATGTGCCAATTTCCCAAAGTTTGGTGTTGACTATGAACTTTACTTAGCTACCTAGCTATCTAGCTGTTCTTAGTGGAAGAATGTGGGAGATATTGTCAACATTGAGTTGTGCCGGTGCAATATCTTTCCATACAGCTAATGTGTCAGGTGTCAGTGTGCAGCGGTAGGATGGAGTCAGGCGCAGGATACAGAACTGAGTAATAGACAAACTTTACTCGAAAAACAACAAATCTAATTTCCACGCTAGGAAATACATCAGCTCACAGCAGTATAAACACCAAACAAAGAACAATCACGCACAACACCATGAGGGAACCAGAGGGTTAAATAGGGATATAAATTAACGTGATGGGAACCAGGTGTGTACAATTCAGACAAAACAAATGGAAAACAGAAACGTAGATCGGTGGCAGCTAGAAAGCCGGTGACGATGACCGCCGATAGCCGCCCGGATAGCCGCCCGCACAAGGAGAGGCACCAACTTCGGCGGAAGTCGTGACATAATGTTAGAGCGTTGTTGCCTTGTAGCTAGCTAGCTAGCTAACGTTGGCTATCTAACTGGCAATAGCAGCCAAGGACGTCCGCTATCTTTATTTGTGCTTATTTGTTTGTGCTCTGATTACACGCAAGTGTCAAGGCCAACAGTTTACACAGATGACTTCAACCATGTGAAAAAACTTCCATAACAAAATATAGCTAGCTTCCTTTGCTTGTAGCTTGCCTCTCATCCAACTGGTGTTAGCTAGCTACTGGCGCTGTTGCTGCACAAGTGCTTTGGTCCGGTTTTAGAACTCTGAGACTTAGCTGAAAAGATGTTAGCATTGTCAGAAGTGCTTCAAAAAGGTAGCACATCATTGGTTTTTAATGTACAGAGATGAGCATGTGAGAGCGATAAGAGATACATTTAATCAAAACTGTTGCCCCTACAAACTTATTCAGTCCGAAAGGTGGCAAGTCTAATGGTCACTTTATGGACGCTGAAGTCTCGTTCTTATCTGACACCTAGATATTGAGCTAGGTCGAGGCAATTATACTTTCTAACGACCCTGTTAAAAATCAGGTTTTCGGTAACGGCCGCACGGCTCTTGACGAGAGGCATCAAGTTGATTTGCTAATTTTCATCGACATTGCCCCCACAACAATTAACCTTATTTCCATATAATTTGTTATTTCCTAAATATTTTTCTTCTTTTCAGTGATCTAATCAGCTTTGTTTCAATTGAGTAACAATGACATGATGAACAAAGACAGAATAATATTGGATAGCAAGTTTTTGATGCACTGTAATCCGTTATCCCTCAAAATACGCTGTCAGTGTCAGGCAGTGTGACTTGACTAGTAACACTGTCACAAACCCACCATGACCACACTTCAAATTACTCTCATTACATTACTCATTACATCCCATTATATGGTCCCCACCCTCCCACCATTCTCCTGTGTTAAAAGTACAGTCTAAGAGCTGAGAGCCTGCTCCCTGCAGGCCTATAGTGTCTCTCAGGCAGCGTCATGTTGTGTTGATAGAAGCCTATATCTGTGCTGAGAGCTTAGAGGCTGCTTCCTGCAGGCCTGTAGTGTCTCTCAGGTAGAGTCATGTTGTGGGACAGAAGACTGTAGCAGGGCCACTTACAGATGCTCCAGGAAATGAGCCCTGCCTGCCTGACTGGCATCACTGAGGGCTTATTGACACACTGCCATGGGATGCCAAAAGATGCCCAGGGCTATAATCACAGTCACTGTGCAGATTCTGTTACTCTGTATGTGGACCTAATTGTAATCCTGTGTTTGGTCCAGATGGCAGCCCCCTGTCCTGGTGGGTGGACCAGGGTGGAGAGAGACGGACCTACTGGGGAGGCTTCCTGCCGGGGGTTCAGCAGTGCTCCTGCAGCATGGAGGACAACTGCATGGACATGAACTACTTCTGCAACTGTGATGCTGACACAGACTCATGGTAACAAGGCAAATATGTCTCTCTCTGTGTATCTACTGCCCATCAATATGATTTAGCTAAATCATCTGTGTGCATATCTTCTCGTGCTTGTCTATCTATATTTCTACATTTTGGCAGTATTCAGTATATTACCTCGTGTCAGATGGAGATTTTCTGGAAGAGACCAAATGTATCAGTTTAAGTGGGTCATGACAAGGGAGGGAGGGGTTAATCATTGATTGTTTCCTTCCAAAGAGAGCATACTCGTCTCTCTGTATTGCAGGGCTAATGACACAGGAGTCCTTTCCTACAAAGAGCACTTACCAGTGAGTGAGATCGTGATTGGAGACACCAACAGAACCGGCTCTGAGGCGCTCTACAGAATCGGCCCGCTGCGTTGTTATGGCGACAGTAGGTGAACTGTTCTATTTTGTGAAATGTTTATCTTACAGATGGTCCCTTTGAACATCCTTGTTTTTCCAGGAAAAATACTGATTAAATATTGTTTGTGTTCAAACTCCGTTCAGTCCAAGACGTGAACCCATTTTCACTGATCTTTGAATCCATCTAATGTGAGTCAAGACCTTCCTCTAAGAAGATATGTGTATTTCCTGTCTTCTAGAGTCTGTGTGGAATGCAGCGTCCTTCTACCAGGAGTCATCCTACCTGCACTTCCCCACCCTCCAGGCAGAGCTCAGCGCTGATATCTCCTTCTACTTCAAGACCAGCGCTCCCTCAGGAGTCTTCCTGGAGAACGTGGGCCTCAAGGACTTCATCAGAGTGGAGCTCAGCTGTGAGTTTGTGAGCCACACACACACACACACACACACACTCACATACAAGCATGAGAAGGCCACACACACACACAAAACACACACTCGCGCACATACAAATCAAATCAAATCAAATGTTATTTGTCACATGCGGCGAATACAACAGGTGTAGATCCTTACAGTGAAATGCTTACAAGCCCTTAACCAACAATGCAGTTTTTAAGAAAAAATTAGTGGTAAGTAAAAAATAGATAAGTAAAAAATAATTAAAGAGCAGCATTGTTTGTAACTTATTTTGTACATAATGTTGCTGCTACTGTCTCTTATGACCGAAAAGAGCTTCTGGACATGAGAACAGTGATTACTCACCTTGAACTGGACGAATAATTGTTCTTTAATGAGTCAGACGAGAGTAATTTTCTCCAGACACCCGACAGGGCCCTCATCCCCGTCATTCGCAGTAGAAAGAAAAGGAGATATCGCGGAAGGAGATCGGGGTGCTTGGTAAGGAGCCGGTGACGAGTGGCTAATCTGCCTTTGCCATCGATACTAATGGCCAACTTACAATCGCTTGATAATAAAATGGACGAACTACAGGCACGAATATCCTACCAACGGGACATAAAAAACTGTAATATCTTATGTTTCACCGAGTCGTGGCTGAACGATGACATGAATAACATACAGCTGGCGGGTTATACACTGTATCGGCAGGATAGAACAGCAGCCTCTGGTAAAACAAGGGGTGGCGGTCTATGTATATTTGTAAACAACAGCTTGTGCACGATATCTAAGGAAGTCTCAAGGTTTTGCTCGCCTGAGGTAGAGTATCTCATGATAAGCTGTAGACCACAGTATCTACCAAGAGAGTTTTAATCTATATTCTTCGTAGCTGTCTATTTACCACCACAAACCGATGCTGGCACTAAGACCACACTCAATGAGCTGTATAAGGCCATAAGCAAACAGGAAAACGCTCATCCAGAGGCGGCGCTCCTAGTGGCCGGGGACTTTAATGCAGTGAAACTTAAATCCATTTAACCTAATTTCTACCAGCATGTTAAATGTGCAACCAGAAGAGACAGAATCATTAGATCATTTGTTTTGGTTCTGTCCATTTGTAGCTTGTTTTTGGACACAGGTCCAGGAATGGCTAAAGGATTGCAATATTTACCTGGAGCTAACCTTGCAGATAGTATTACTGGGTGATCTGAAAAGTCATAGTCAATCGATCAATAATATAATAATACTTTTAGCAAAAAAAATTATTTTTAATTCACAATGTGTAGAAGCAATGAGAATAGAAAGGTTCAGAACTTTTGTAAAACATCACAGTACGGTTGAAATATATATGGCAAATAGAAATCCTATATGGATGGTGTTAAGAGATAGATGGGAGGTATTGAATAGAGATGAAGGATGGGACTAATAACAAATAACAACAAATAATAACAAAGATAGCTAATATTGTAAGCATACTGTGTCCATAATAAGTATATAGGTGGTATGTTGGGAGTTTTTGGGAAAGAGCACAGTTAGAAAGATATGGCATATAGAAGCAAACCGGATGGACATCATGAAAATGATCAGTGAGGTTGAGAGTAGAAGAAGTTCAGGAGCAAAATAAATAAATACAGTGGGGAGAACAAGTATTTGATACACTGTCGATTTTGCAGGTTTTCCTACTTACAAAGCATGTAGAGGTCTGTAATTTTTTATCATAGGTACACATTAACTGTGAAAGACGGAATCTAAAACAAAAATCCAGAAAATCACATTGTATGATTTTTAAGTAATTAATTTGCATTTTATTGCATGACATAAGTATTTGATCACCTACCAACCAGTAAGAATTCCGGCTCTCACAGACCTGTTAGTTTTTCTTTAAGAAGCCCTCCTGTTCTCCACTCATTACCTGTATTAACTGCACCTGTTTGAACTCGTTACCTGTATAAAAGACACCTGTCCACACACTCAATCAAACAGACTCCAACCTCTCCACAATGGCCAAGACCAGAGAGCTGTGTAAGGACATCAGGGAAAATTGTAGACCTGCACAAGGCTGGGATGGGCTACAGGACAATAGGCAAACAGCTTGGTGAGAAGGCAACAACTGTTGGCGCAATTATTAGAAAATGGAAGAAGTTCAAGATGACGGTCAATCACCCTCGGTCTGGGGCTCCATGCAAGATCTCACCTCGTGGGGCATCAATGATCATGAGGAAGGTGAGGGATCAGCCCAGAACTACACGGCAGGACCTGGTCAATGACCTGAAGAGAGCTGGGACCACAGTCTCAAAGAAAACCATTAGTAACACACTACGTCGTCATGGATTAAAATCCTGCAGCGCACGCAAGGTCCCCCTGCTCAAGCCAGCGCATGTCCAGGCCCGTCTGAAGTTTGCCAATGACCATCTGGATGATCCAGAGGAGGAATGGGAGAAGGTCATGTGGTCTGATGATACAAAAATAGAGCTTTTTGGTCTAAACTCCACTCACCGTGTTTGGAGGATGAAGAAGGATGAGTACAACCCCAAGAACACCATCCCAACCGTGAAGCATGGAGGTGGAAACATCATTCTTTGGGGATGCTTTTCTGCAAAGGGGACAGGACGACTGCACCGTATTGAGGGGAGGATGGATGGGGCCATGTATCGCGAGATCTTGGCCAACAACCTCCTTCCCTCAGTAAGAGCATTGAAGATGGGTCGTGGCTGGGTCTTCCAGCATGACAACGACCCAAAACACACAGCCAGGGCAACTAAGGAGTGGCTCCGTAAGAAGCATCTCAAGGTCCTGGAGTGGCCTAGCCAGTCTCTAGACCTGAACCCAATAGAAAATATTTGGAGGGAGCTGAATGTCTGTATTGCCCAGCGACAGCCCCGAAACCTGAAGGATCTGGAGAAGGTCTGTATGGAGGAGTGGGTCTGTATGGAAGAGAAGGTCTGTATGGAAGATACAATCTATCTGCAATATGAAGCTGATCCACCACCCCCCCCCCCCCCCCCCCCAAAAAAAAGAAAAAGAAAAAAAAAGAAGTGCAACCAGAGGGAAAAAAAACTCTAGACCACCTTTACTCCTCACACAGAGACGCATACAAAGCTCTCCCTCGCCCTCCATTTGGAAAATCTGACCATAATTCTATCCTCCTGATTCCTGCTTACAAGCAAAAACTAAAGCAGGAAGCACCAGTGACTCGGTCAATAAAAAAGTGGTCAGATGAAGCAGATGCTAAGCTACAGGACTGTTCTGCTAGCACAGACTGGAATATGTTCCGGGATTCTTCCGATGGCATTGAGGAGTACACCATTTCAGTCACTGGCTTCAACAATAAGTGCATCGATGATGTCGTCCCCACAGTGACTGTACGTACATACCCCAACCAAAAGCCATGGATTACAGGCAACACTGAGCTAAAGGGTAGAGCTGCCGCTTTCAAGGAGCGGGACTCTAACCCGGAAGCTTATAAGAAATCTTGCTATGCCTTCCGACAAACCATCAAACAGGCAAAGAGTCAATACAGGACTAAGATCGAATCGTACTACACCGGCTCTGACGCTCGTCGGATGTGGCAGGGCTTGCTAACTATTACAGACTACAAAGGGAAGCACAGCCGCGAGCTGTCCAGTGACATGAGCCCACCAGACAAGCTAAATTACTTCTATGCTCGCTTCAAGGCAAGTAACACTGAAACATGCATGAGAGCATCAGCTGTTCCGGATGACTGTGTGATCACGCTCTCTGTAGCCAATGTGAGTAAGACCTTTTAACAGGTCAACATTCACAGACAGATTACCAGGACGTGTACTCCGAGCATGCGTTGTCCAACTGGCAAGTGTCTTCACTGACATTTTCAACATGTCCCTGTCTGAGTCTGTAATACGAACATGTTTCAAGCAGACCACCATAGTCCCTGTGCCCAAGAACACTAAGGTAACCTGCCTAAATGACTACCGACCCGTAGCACTCACGTCTGTAGCCATGAAGTGCTTTGAAAGGCTGGTCATGGCTCACATCAACACCATTATCCCAGAAACCCTAGACCCACTCCAATTTGTATATCGCCCCAACAGATCCACAGATGATGCAATCTCTATTGCGCTCCACACTGCCCTTTCACACCTGGACAAAAGGAACACCTATGTGAGAATGCTATTCATTGACTACAGCTCAGCGTTCAACACCATAGTGCCCTCAAAGCTCATCACATGTCTCAGCCTCCAGTATTTATGCTGCAGTAGTTTATGTGTCGGGGGGCTGGGGTTAGTTGGTTATACCTGGAGTACTTCTCCTGTCTTATCCAGTGTCCTGTGTGAATTTAAGTATGCTCTCTCTAATTCTCTCGTTCTCTCTTTCTCTCTGAGAACCTGAGCCCTAGGACCATACGTCAGGACTACCGGGCATGATGACACCTTGCTGTCCCCAGTCCGCCTGGCCTTGCTGCTATTCCAGTTTCAACTGTTCTGCCTGCGGTTACGAAACCCCTACCTGTCTCAGACCTGCTGTTTTCAACTCTTAATGATCGGCTATGAAAAGCCAACTGAGAGACCTGAGCCCTAGGACCATACGTCGGGACTACCGGCCGTGGTGACTCCTTGCTGTCCCCAGTCCGCCTGGCCTTGCTGCTATTCCAGTTTCAACTGTTCTGCCTGCGGTTATGGAACCCCTACCTGTCCCAGACCTGCTGTTTTCAACTCTTAATGATCGGCTATGAAAAGCCAACTGAGATTTATTCCTGATTATTATTTGACCATGCTTGTCACTTATGAACATTTTTTGAACATCTTGGCATGGTTCTGTTATAATCTCCACCCGGCACAGCCAGAAGAGGACTGGCCACCCCTCATAGCCTGGTTCCTTTCTAGGTTTCTTCCTAGGTTTTGGCCTTTCTAGGGAGTTTTTCCTAGCCACCGTGCTTCTACACCTGCATTACTAGCTGTTTGGGGTTTTAGGCTGGGTTTCTGTACAGCACTTCGAGATATTAGCTGATGTAAGAAGGGCTATATAAAATAAAATTGATTGATTGATTGATTGATCACTAAGCTAAGGACCCTGGGACTAAACACCTCCCTCTGCAACTGGATCCTGGACTTCCTGACGGGCCACCCCCCAGGTGGTAAGGGTAGGTAACAACACATCTGCAACACGTGGGCCCCTCAGGGGTGCGTGCTCAGTCCCCTCCTGTACTCCCTGTTCACCCATGACTGCATGGCCAGGCACAACTCCAACACCATCATTAAGTTTGCCGATGACACAACAGTGGTAGGCCTGATCACCGACAACAATGAGACAGCCTATAGGGAGGAGGTCAGAGACCTGGCCGTGTGGTGCCAGGACAACAACCTCTCCCTCAAGGTGATCAAGACAAAGGAGATGATTGTGGACTACAGGAAAAAGAAGAGGACCGAGCACGCCCCCATTCTCATCGACAGGGCTGTAATGGAGCAGGTTGAGAGCTTCAAGTTCCTTGGTGTCCACATCAACAACAAACTAACATGGTCCAAGCACACCAAGACAGTCGTGAAGAGGGCACGACAAAACCTATTCCCCCTAAGGAGACTGAAAAGTCACTACAGAGGGTAGTGCGTACGGCCCAGTACATCACTGGGGCCAAGCTGCCTGCCATCCAGAACCTCTATACCAGGCGGTGTCAGAGGAAGGCCCTAAAAATTGTCAAAGACTCCAGCCACCCTAGTCATAGACTGTTCTCTCTGCTACTGCACAGCAAGTTGCACCAGAGCACCAAGTCTAGTTCCAAGAGGCTTCTAAACAGTTTCTACCCCCAAGCCATAAGACTCCTGATCATCTAATCAAATGGCTACCCAGACTATTTGCATTGCCCCCCCCCCAACCCTCTTTTACGCTGCTGCTACTCTCTGTTTATTCTCTATGCATTGTCACTTTAATAACTCTACCTACATGTACATATTACCCCAATTACCTCGACTAACCGGTGCCCCCAAACATTGACTCGTACCGGTATCCCCTGTAAATAGCCTCGCTATTGTTAGTTTTACTGCTGCTCTTTAATTATTTGTTACTTTTATTTCATATTATTTTATATTGTATTTTTGGGTGATTTCTTTTGGTATTCTTTCTTAAAACTGCATTGTTGGTTAAGGGCTTGTAAGTAAGCATTTCACTGTAAGGTCTACACCTGTTGTATTCGGCGAATGTAACAAACAAAATGTGATTTGATTTGAAGCTGTCAACTTAGTTACAGCGCTATATCATCAAGCTGTGAACATAGCTACATTGCTATATCATCAAGCTGTCAACTTAGTTACAGCGCTTTATCATCAGGCTGTCAACTTAGCTATAGCGCTTTATCATCAGGCTGTCTACTTAGTTACAGCGCTTTATCATCAGGCTGTCAACTTAGCTACAGCGCTTTATCATCAGGCTGTCAACTTAGCTACAGCGCTTTATCATCAAGCTGTCAACTTAGCTACAGCGCTTTATCATCAGGCTGTCAACTTAGTTACAGCGCTTTATCATCAGGCTGTCAACTTAGCTACAGCGCTTTATCATCAGGCTGTCAACTTAGTTACAGCGCTTTATCATCAGGCTGTCAACTTAGTTACAGCGCTATATCATCAAGCTGTCAACTTAGTTACAGCACTATATCATCAAGCTGTCAACTTATCTACAGCGCTTTATCATCAGGCTGTCAACTTAGCTACAGCGCTTTATCATCAAGCTGTCAACTTAGCTACAGCGCTTTATCATCAGGCTGTCAACTTAGTTACAGCGCTTTATCATCAGGCTGTCAACTTAGTTACAGCGCTTTATCATCAGGCTGTCTACTTAGTTGACAGCGCTATATCATCAGGCTGTCAACTTAGCTACAGCGCTATATCATCAGGCTGTCAACTTAGTTACAGCGCTTTATCATCAGGCTGTCAACTTAGTTACAGCGCTTTATCATCAGGCTGTCAACTTAGTTACAGCGCTTTATCATCAAGCTGTCAACTTAGTTACAGCGCTTTATCATCAGGCTGTCAACTTAGTTACAGCGCTTTATCATCAGGCTGTCAACTTAGCTACAATTCTATATCATCAAGCTGTCAATTTAGTTACAGCGCTTTATCATCAGGCTGTCAACTTAGCTACAGCGCTTTATCATCAGGCTGTCAACTGAGCTACAGCGCTTTATCATCAGGCTGTCAACTTAGTTACAGTGCTTTATCATCAGGCTGTCAACTTAGTTACAGTGCTTTATCATCAGGCTGTCAACTTAGTTACAGTGCTTTATCATCAAGCTGTCAACTTAGCTACAGCGCTTTATCATCAGGCTGTCAACTTAGCTACAGCGCTTTATCATCAGGCTGTCAACTTAGTTACAGCACTATATCATCAGGCTGTCAACTTAGTTGACAGCGCTCTATCATCAAGGCTGTCTACTTAGCTTCCAGCGCTAATCATCAGGCTGTCAACTTAGCTCAGCGCTATATCAATCAGGCTGTCAACTTAGTTGACATCGGCTATATCCATCAGGCCTGTCCTAATTTAGCTACAGCTCTATATCATCAGGCTGTCAACTTAGCTACCGCGCTATATCATCAGGACCTGTCAACTTAGTTAACATCGCTATAATCATCAAGCTGTCCCAACTTAAGCTACAGCGCTTTATCATCAGTGGCTGTCAACTTAGCTACAGCGCTTTATCATCAGGCTGTCAACCTTAGTTATCAGCGCCTTTATCATCAGGGCTGTCAAACTTAGCTATCAGCGCTTTATCATCAGGCTGTCACTTAGCTACAGAGCTTTATCATCAGGCTGTCAACTTAGCTACAGCTCTTTATCATCAGGCTGTCAACTTAGTTACAGTGCTATATCATCAGGCTGTCAACTTAGTTGACAGCGCTATATCATCAGGCTGTCAACTTAGCTACAGCGCTATATCATCAGCTGTCAACTTAGTTTAACAAGCGCTATATCATCAAGGCTGTCAACTTAGTTGACAGCACGATAATCATCAAGGCTGTCAACTTAGTTACAGCGCTATATCATCAGGCTGTCAACTTAGCTACAGCGCTATATCATCAAGCTGTCAACTTAGTTACAGCACTATATCACCAAGCTGTCAACTATCTACATTGCTTATATCATCAGGCTGTCAACTTAGTTACAGCGCTTTATCATCAGGCTGTCAACTTAGCTACAGCGCTTTATCATCAGGCTGTCAACTTAGCTACAGCGCTTTATCATCAGGCTGTCAACTTAGTTACAGCGCTTTATCATCAGGCTGTCAACTTAGTTACAGCGCTTTATCATCAGGCTGTCAACTTAGTTACAGGCCTTTATCATCAGGCTGTCAACTTAGTTACAGCGCTATATCATCAAGGCTGTCAACTTAGCTACAAGCGCTTTATCATCAAGCTGTCAACTTAGTTACAGCGCTTATCATCAAGCTGTCAACTTAGCTACAGCGCTTTATCATCAAGGCTGTCAACTTAGTTACAGTGCTTTATCATCAGCTGTCAACTTAGTTACAGCGCTTATCATCAGCTGTCAACTTAGTTACAGCGCTTTATCATCAGGCTGTCAACTTAGTACAGCGCTTACCATCAAGCTGTCAACTTAGTTACAGCGACTTTATCACAGCTGTCAACTTAGCTACAGCGCTTTATCAACAGGCTGTCAACTTAGCTTACAGCGCTTTATCATCAGGCTGTCAACTTAGCTACAGCGCTTTATCATCAGGCTGTCAACTTAGTTACAGTGCTTTATCATCAGGCTGTCAACTTAGCTACAGCGCTTTACCATCAGGCTGTCAACTTAGTTACAGCGCTTTACATCAGGCTGTCAACTTAGTTACAGCGCTTTATCATCAGGCTGTCAACTTAGTTACAGCGCTTATCATCAAGCTGTCAACTTAGCTACAGCGCTTTATCATCAGGCTGTCAACTTAGTACAGCGCTTTATCATCAGGCTGTCAACTTAGTACAGCGCTTTATCAACAGGCTGTCAACTTAGTTACAGCGCTTTATCATCAGGCTGTCAACTTAGTACAGCGTTTATCAACAGGCTGTCAACTTAGTTACAGCGCTTTATCATCAGGCTGTCAACTTAGCTACAGCGCTTTATCACAGGCTGTCAACTTAGTTACAGCGCTTTATCACAGGCTGTCAACTTAGCTACAGCGCTTTATCATCAGGCTGTCAACTTAGTTACAGCGTTTATCACAGGCTGTCAACTTAGTTACAGCGCTTTATCATCAGGCTGTCAATTTAGCTACACAGCTATATCATCAGGCTGTCAACTGTAGCTTTAAGTTCAACTTATAATTTTCAGCTTCAACTCAGTATCGTATCAAGGCTGACTCAGACATAATCAGGGCAATAGACAGCGTATAGACAGGCTGAATTAGACAGCGTATATCGAAGGTAACGAGTAAAAGGTAATTCAGGTCTTTTAACTACTTCAATCAGCGCTTTATAGGGAATATGTACAGCCTGTTTCAGCGCAAATGAATTCAGCGCTTTAAGGATAGTTCGCTACACTGACTGTCAACTTGTGCCTTTCATGTTCACTACTCCGTATCATCAGGTGTAACTTCTACACCTTTACTGAAAGCGTGCAGTTGGTACAGCGCTTATATCAGCCCACGTCTGATTACAGGCATTGATCTGAGCGAGCGACAGCGGTTTAATCAGGCTCTCTGTGCAGGTGACACAGCTGTACCCTGCGCTTCATGAAGCTCTGTACTGAGACAGCGCTATCCCCTCGGCTTCAACAGTACAGCGTTTATTCAGACTGGCTGCCAATTAGCTTACGCCTACATCCTGTCAACAGTACAGCGTTGTTAGTAGGCTGGCCTTAGTTAAGGTTATATCCCTTCATGAGCACCATTTATTTCATAGGGCAACTTTAAAGCGCTTTCCTCCTGTACAGCTCAGCGCTGATATCAGCTTGTCTCGGTACGTTGCATATGTCATAGTTACGGGTATTCTCAATTAACAGTAGGTTCAATAGTGTAATGATCATGCTTATTTCAAGCTGTCACTACTTACGGTTATATCAGGGTCATATACACCATTAAGTGGTTCCTATACAGACATACATAGCTGTCCTAGTTACACGCTAAATCTCAGTGTCATTAGGGACGCGCTATATCTCAGGCTGTCACTTGTTCGCGCTACATCAGCTGTAAACTTGCTACGCGCATATTCAGGCTGTCAATACTACGCTCTATATATCAGCTGTCAACTTAGTTACAGCGCTATCATCAGGCTGTCTACTTAGCTACAGGCTATATCATCAGGCTGTCAACTTAGCTACAGCGCTATATCATCAGGCTGTCAACTTAGTTACAGCGCTATATCATCAAGCTGTCAACTTAGCTACAGCGCTTTATCATCAGGCTGTCAACTTAGCTACAACGCTTTATCATCAGGCTGTCAACTTAGTTACAGTGCTTTATCATCAGGCTGTCAACTTAGTTACAGTGCTTTATCATCAAGCTGTCAACTTAGCTACAGCGCTTTATCATCAGGCTGTCAACTTAGCTACAGCGCTTTATCATCAGGCTGTCAACTTAGTTACAGCACTATATCATCAGGCTGTCAACTTAGTTGACAGCGCTATATCATCAGGCTGTCTACTTAGCTACAGCGCTATATCATCAGGCTGTCAACTTAGCTACAGCGCTATATCATCAGGCTGTCAACTTAGTTGACAGCGCTATATCATCAGGCTGTCTACTTAGCTACAGCGCTATATCATCAGGCTGTCAACTTAGCTACAGCGCTATATCATCAGGCTGTCAACTTAGTTACAGCGCTATATCATCAAGCTGTCAACTTAGCTACAGCGCTTTATCATCAGGCTGTCAACTTAGCTACAGCGCTTTATCATCAGGCTGTCAACTTAGTTACAGCGCTTTATCATCAGGCTGTCAACTTAGCTACAGCGCTTTATCATCAGGCTGTCAACTTAGCTACAGCGCTTTATCATCAGGCTGTCAACTTAGCTACAGCGCTTTATCATCAGGCTGTCAACTTAGTTACAGTGCTTTATCATCAGGCTGTCAACTTAGTTACAGCGCTATATCATCAGGCTGTCAACTTAGCTACAGCGCTTTATCATCAAGCTGTCAACTTAGTTACAATGCTATATCATCAAGCTGTCAACGTAGTTACAGCACTATATCATCAAGCTGTCAACTTAGTTACAGCGCTTTATCATCAGGCTGTCAACTTAGTTACAGCGCTATATCATCAAGCTGTCAACTTAGTTACAGCACTATATCACCAAGCTGTCAACTTAGCTACAGTGCTTTATCATCAGGCTGTCAACTTAGTTACAGCGCTTTATCATCAGGCTGTCAACTTAGCTACAGCGCTTTATCATCAGGCTGTCAACTTAGCTACAGCGCTTTATCATCAGGCTGTCAACTTAGTTACAGCGCTTTATCATCAGGCTGTCAACTTAGCTACAGCGCTTTACCATCAGGCTGTCAACTTAGTTACAGCGCTTTATCATCAGGCTGTCAACTTAGCTACAGCGCTTTATCAACAGGCTGTCAACTTAGCTACAGCGCTTTATCATCAGGCTGTCAACTTAGCTACAGCGCTTTATCATCAGGCTGTCAACTTAGTTACAGTGCTTTATCATCAGGCTGTCAACTTAGCTACAGCGCTTTACCATCAGGCTGTCAACTTAGTTACAGCGCTTTATCATCAGGCTGTCAACTTAGCTACAGCGCTTTATCAACAGGCTGTCAACTTAGCTGCAGCGCTTTATCATCAGGCTGTCAACTTAGTTACAGCGCTATATCATCAGGCTGTCAACTTAGCTACAGCGCTTTATCATCAGGCTGTCAACTTAGCTACAGCGCTTTATCATCAGGCTGTCAACTTAGTTACAGCGCTTTATCAACAGGCTGTCAACTTAGTTACAGCGCTTTATCATCAGGCTGTCAACTTAGTTACAGCGGTTTATCAACAGGCTGTCAACTTAGTTACAGCGCTTTATCAACAGGCTGTCAACTTAGTTACAGCGCTTTATCATCAGGCTGTCAACTTAGTTACAGCGCTTTATCAACAGGCTGTCAACTTAGTTACAGCGCTTTATCATCAGGCTGTCAACTTAGTTACAGCGGTTTATCAACAGGCTGTCAACTTAGTTACAGCGCTTTATCATCAGGCTGTCAATTTAGCTACAACGCTATATCATCAGGCTGTCAACTTAGCTTTGAAAATAAACTTATAATTTCACTAAAAACCAGGTAATCAAATGGAGATCAGAAAATGAAGAGAGAGAGAGAGAGAGGAGAGAGAGAGAGAGAGAGAGAGAGAGAAATTCTCAGTGTTCATTGTGAGGACCTACTTCAAAATCAGCCTGTCTATTGAAGGGGAAATGTAAGAAACTGTTGTCAGCAAAATGGAAATTCAACATGTTTGAAGGATGAGTTCTCTACGACCTGACTGTCAGCTTGTGTCCCTGTTCTGTTCCCTCAGCTCCGTCCGTGGTGACGTTCTCCTTTGACGTGGAAAACGGGCCGGTGGTCCTGGCCATTAAGTCCCACGTGCCCCTGAATGACAGGCAGTGGCACTACGTGAGGGCGGAGCGCAGCGTGAAGGAGGCCTCTCTGCAGGTGGACCAGCTACCCCTGCGCTTCCTGGAAGCTCTGTCTGACCGACACCTCCGCCTCCGGCTCAACAGCCAGCTGTTTGTGGGTAGGACTGGCCTGGCCTCATAGCCTTAGTCTCAGTCTCAACAGTCAGCTGTGTGTTGGTAGGGCTGGCCTTAGTAATGTAATATAACCCCCCTTAGGAAACCATTTATTTCATTAGACAGACTTTAAGAGTGGCCTTTCCTCTGACAGGTTCCACCAGAGATATACTATTGTCTCGGTACAGTTGCTATCTCAGGAGTTACGATATTCTCAAATAGACAGTAGGTCAAAGTATGAATGATCATTATGATTATTTCACAGTCACTTTCTGGTTATACCAAGGCATTACACACATTAATGGGTTTCCTATAAGACATTACCTATAAGCTTTCCCTGAGATTAAACCTTTGGTTGGCCATAAATCTTGATTTGTCATTCAGGCGCGTTACTGTTTCTTCTGCACATAATGTTTGGAAAGGTCTGCCCAACGCTTCATCCTAATAGCTATTCTTCCATATTTGCATATAGTTAGTCTTAATGAGGCCTCTCACACATGAATAGTTCCAGAGTTGTCTGCTTACTGGAATTAAATCAAGGGTTGCAGTAAAGCAGTGGGCTTCTTTAGCCTCTCAGTGAGTTATTATGTATTGTTAGGTTCTGAATAACAATGTAAAAACCGACGGACGACTATTAAAGCTCAAACCAAGTTTATTCACCCACTGGGTCACACAGCTGCTTGAGACAAAGACATGTTTCCACCAACACAGATATATATACTCCAATTTAGGTAAACTCCTCCTTCTCTCTAAACCTTACATTGTTTATTGCTAGGCAGGAAGTTAAGTGATGTAAGTAATAAACTGTTCCTTCTCCCTTAACGTGACCTGACCTATCCTCAACCCCATTCCTCTCCAATCCAAAGCTCTCCACCCGTATCAGCGACTGCAATCATGTGATTGCCTCTCCTCTACTCAGTACATTCCAAAGCCCCCTGGCTCCTATCCAACCTTCATTGACCCCACCATATACATTCCTCCTACATATAACCATTAACTTCTGGTGTATAAACCAGACTATAGTATAACTGATTATTAACAATATTTAAAGTTTAGAAATCCGAACCGATCAGTATCAAGACTAGACTAGAAATGTGTTATAACATTGTTATAGGCATTATGAACTAGTTATAACTTGCATTCCCTTCTCTAAGAGGAACAGCAGCTAGTACTCAGTGGAATATGATGCATTATATACTAGTTATACATCTTTAATAACACTGTAATAAACATATGAACTAGTTATAACCTGTGGTCCCTCCTCCAGGGGGAACGGCGGCCAGGCAGAGGGGCTTCTTGGGCTGCATCAGAACTCTGACTATAAACGGTGTGACCTTTAACCTGGAGGAGCGGGCTAAGATGACCCCGGGAGTGAGCGCTGGCTGCCCCGGCCACTGCAGCGGCTCCAGCAGTCTCTGCCACAACAGAGGGAGGTGCATCGAGAATAACACCGGCTACGTCTGTGACTGCTCCCAGTCTGCCTACGGGGGGCCCTCCTGCAAGGAAGGTGTGCGATGATATGCCCCCCCAAAAACTAGATGTAAATGGGTTCACTCATGATATTGTTGTTTAATGAATTATTTAATGGAAAAAAAAGACTTAAAACACATAAGAATAGACTTACATTTCCAAGTAAAGATGGATCAAGTATCTAATGCAGTTGGTACTTGGTACTCGCCCCAGGTCCTTGTCATACTGCATGTATTATACAGTGGAATGATGACATTCATATGCAATCGGTACTGTACAGCTCTCCTCTCCACTCCCGAAAAGTTTCTGGTCTTTTTTTAACCTTACCAGGTTTTAAACCCTCCCAATCTAGAACAAAAATAGCAACTCTTGAGCAAAAATCTTGATGTATCCACCGCCGCATGTGTTGGATTCTTGGATGTGGTTCTTAGCTTATTTTTCTCTGAACCACTGTGTACACTTGTACCTGAGCCACTTTCAGGTTAAATAAATTCTTGCCTTCAATCATTCTTAAGGAAAAAAGCAATATTGACCTATCTTAACCCTTTTCTGAAGATGCTCCTTTATTTCCAGCATCTGCTCTTGTGTGGGTGGCCTTCCATTATTTATTCTCTTTCCACTAAGTCATTCTATTTCGTCCAATGAAATTGACAGAACGTTTATTCGTCAAGAATGTTTGGGCCAAAACATTTGTACATGTTTATTCTGACTGGTGATTAGGTTAGGGCTAAAAGCAGCTACAACTTATACAATTTTGATTAACATTATTTGCGCTCAACAGTTAATCTTATGAATTCAGTGTATTACAGCATGACTACCCTAATGTCCCATCCTCTCTCTCCCTGTCCATGCAGAGGTGTCTGTGTCGTTTGACAGAGAGTCGTCGGTGACCTACACCTTCCAGGAGCCTTTCTCTGTGATGCAGAACAGGAGCTTCCAGGCCTCCAGCGTCTACAGAGAGAACAGCAGGGCCAGAGAGAACATGGCTCTCATCTTCATGACCACACAGAGCCCTGCCATGCTGCTCACTGTCAGCACCTTCAGCCAGCAGTACATAGCAGTCATCCTGGCGCGCAACGGTATGGACACCTCTACTACTCATTTGTCAGTAGTACAAATAATGTAATCTTTTCTGAGGTGTCCATTTACACCTCAGTGCATTTGGTAATGTGAGTGAAATTCAATATGCTTCGAACATATTTGCAGATTTATATTTAGCCTCAGACGGGAAGAAGTTTGGACTCCACCAAGGCTTTAGCAAAGGGTGTTATAATGACTCCATTAACTGGCAGAGGGCAACTCTAAATTCAGAATGTAATCTCATTATATGGAAGAGAGTGCTAACTATTGGGCACTATTTATTCCAGCGGAGTGTTTTCTCTCATTGTACCACACAGCAAAGAGCTGAAAGAACCACATTGCCTTGCACAACTCTCAACACAAAGAATACCATTTGTTTCATAGAAAGATGGATTTATAATCCCTTCACAAGGATGGAACAAGTAATGTGTCATGTTTAGAATATTTCCATCCATCACATAACAGACAGGAATAAAAAATTTTAACCTTGACAGATCCAAGTTCAGCGACGCGTCTAAGCCTATTCAGCCGCATCCATAACGAAGCCTTGATCACGCACCTTAGACCTCTAATCTGACAGCCGTCCAAGTTGTACAGAAAGCATCAAGCCCACCGGCATCGTGTTGAGTGACGCCCTGTGTTTCTTTAAGTCTTTGCTCTTTTGTTCAATCGGAGCGTGTGGATGAATCACGCCTTTGTAAATATGGGAGGATCAGGAGGACACTTCATCCATGGTAATCTCGGGCACCCGGGCACTGTCAGGGGGTTCTCAAACACAACATAAATCCCTTTGCCAACCGAGCTGGAATTGTAATATTGACCCAACTTCACTTGATAATGCAAAGCTCTCTGCCTCTCTGATCTAGTGTGGTGTGTGTGTGGGAGGAACATTTGGTGCATATTGACATATTCAACACAGGGCAAAGAGCTTTAGGCTGCTCCAGGATACATATTTATATCTAAAGAGGTAACTGTGGGGGCTTCAATAGAGAAGTCTATTTATATATAAACTGCCAACTCTCTCCATTGTATTTCAGTCATAATGCTATTTTCGTTTATAAGGTTCTCTTAATTCCGAACTCATTTCTATTGATTGATATGCGTGGGGCATTTAATAAAATAAAATAAAAGGTTCTTAGGTGAAGGTGAGGTGAGCCACCTCATGAGATAAATTTAGCTATTTAAATGTTTTTAATTAATTAACAACTCTTGGGACAATCTCATTGGCACAGCTCATGGAAAATGCCTGTATACAAAGAAACAAGGCAATAATGTTTACAAATCACCATGAGGGCAACTGATGGTTATTTCAAAATAAGTTTTCATGTTGGTGCATACTTTAGCCAAAATGGTAACTGGAGATATTTGCACAGTCCTCACATTGACTTCAATGCATGACTTAAACAAGTCCAATAGTCAACAACTTAGGGTAGGTTTCAGATATTTTAATGCATAGTTTTCACCCAGTTTGTGTTGTGGTCTACAGGGAGTCTCCAGATATGGTACCATCTCCATGTGGACAGGAGGACAGATGTGTTCAGCCCCAGACCCACAAGCCTGGCAGACGGACGCCTCCACCGTATCAGAATCCACCGTGAGGGAAAAGACGTCTACCTACAGGTGAGCAATAGATACATTTACAAAAGGTGTAGATCCTGTACATTGTAATTCCATCACAACATATGGGCAAGTCAATCCTCATTGATTGATTTCATTCTTACTAATAGCCCCCATAAATATTTGTCTAGTGAAGTATTTGCATATGATCAGAGTATGTATTCAACTATTACCCTACGAGGTCCAGAGCCTGCTGGTTTTCTGTTCTACCTGATAATTCATTGCACCCACCTGGTGTCCCAGGTCTAAACCAGTCCCTGATTAGCAACAATTAAAAAAATGCAGTGCAACTAGCTTCGAGGTCCAGAGTTGAGTTTGAGGGTATTAGAGATACGAAACAGCAAAACACTAATACTCAGTTAATTAAGAAGAGACATTTAAAAACGTTTTTCTTTTTTCTACTGTTCTACTCTGATTTTGCCACTATCTCCTGTATTCCTGACCCTGAGTTGGCTCTAAAAAAATGTATCCTCCATATTTATTGCTTTGGCTGATAAACACGCCCCTTTTGAACAAATCAGAGTCAAAGATAGATCTAACCCTTGGTTTTCTTCGGAGCTATCTGAGCTCATTCAGATGAGATAATCAGGCCTGGGCCAAAGCAAGGGAAAACTGACTCTCTATTGGACTGGCAATCATTCAGACAATTGAGAAACAGATGTACTATCTTGATGAAGAAAGCTAAATCAAGACACCTTTTAAGCTCTTTCTCTGACTCTGCTGGTGTTCCTTCTAAATTTTGGAAAAACAGTAAATGCACTGAAGCATACAAATTCATCTTCTTCCCTGCCTAAGCAAGTTCTGTCTGACTCTGGTATCATAACTGAGAAGAATGGGATAAGTCATGCTTTTAATCATCATTTTATCTCGGCAGGCTTTTTATCTGAGAGAAACTGTGGTTTAATTGACCCTGGACAGTCAATCGACTGCTCTTCCCTCTGCCAGCCTCTAGCTGACTCGGCGGTTAACCCGTCAACTTCTAGTGAATCTTTGTTTTCATTTCAACAATTTACTATCTGTGATGTGCTAGATACCTTGCTTAAGATTGATGTAAAAACAAAAATCAACTGGGGCTGATATGCTTGATCCATTTTTGATGCATCTCTCTGATTGATGAATCATTAAACCATATTCTTAAAGTGACGATTATATCTGGTACTATCTACAAGGTTTGGAAGACAGCCCATGTACTCCCCCTTCACAAAGGTGGTGACCTTTGTGACCTAATTAATTATCGCCCTGTTTCCAAACTTTCTATAGCCTCGCTAAAATATTAGAATCCTTGATTAATTCTCAGCTAAGATCTTTCTTATCTTTGAAATGCATTCTAACTGTACATCAGTCGAGTTTTAGACCAGGTCATAGCACTATCTCTGCTGCATCCCTAGTTATAAATGATGTGGATAACTTTATGGATAAAAGGCAACATTGTGCTGCCCTCTTCACTGACCTGTCAAAGGCTTTCCATACTGTTGATCACTCACTGCTAATTCAGAGGCTTTCCTCAATTGGCCTATACCAGGCTGCATGTAACTGGTTTAAAAATTACTTGGCAGATAGAACTCAATGTGTATCTACTGATGATGTTAAATCAGGTTTCCTGGATATTACGAAAGGTGTCCCGCAGGGGTCGATTCTGGGTCCTGTACTTTTTACTGTTTACATTAACAACATCGACTTGTCTGTAAGAAAATTGTAACCTGCACTTGTATGCCGATGATACTGTTGTGTATACTATTTTCCCCCGTGGTTGACCAGGCTTTATCTGAACTACAGTCTGCCTTCATTGTGTTACACAAACACTCTATTGACCGAAAATTAGTACTGAATGCAGGTAAAACTAAATATATGTTGTTCTCTAGAGCGCATAGAAATAACTGATGATTTAAGCATATGTACTTTGGATGGTGTCCATATTGATCGTGTCCCTGCTTACAAATATCTGGGCATGTGGATAGATTAAAAACAGTCTTTTAAAAAGCATATTGATGAGTTAGTTAAGAAGCTGAGAATTAAAGTGGGCTTCTATAGAAATAGGTCCTGCCTCTCGCTAAATAGTAGAAAGCAGATTAATCAGTCGACATTCCTATCAATCCTAGACTAAGGCGATTTCATCTGCCACTTAATTAAAGCCGTGAGTTGCAGTTTATCACAGCGCACTGCGCTTTATTATGGCCGTCAGTTTTAGTACTCATCACTGCATTCTCTACCAGAAAGTTGGTTGGCCATCTTTGATGTCACGTAGGTTGATACATTGCTATGTTTTCATTTATAAAGCTCTTTTACAAAAAGTCCCACTGCACCTAACATCTTTACTAACTTTAGACATACGAGTTACCACACCCGGTCTCAGGGATGGTTAACTCTGGTCTCTACTGATTTAGGTAAATCAGCTTTTAGTTTTCTTGCACCTTATTTGTGGAACAAACTTCAAAATGTTCTTAAATGTGATGTTTTGGTGCCTCTAGGTCAATTCAGAAAGCTGATTGAGGACCTTATTACTGATGAATGCGTTTGGTTTTCTTTCTGCTAGCATCTTGTATTTATATTTTGATGTGTGTACTTTCTGTAATTTATGTAATTCAGGACTCATCTGTAAAAGAGACATTGGTCTCAGTATGACTCCCTGATAAAATAAAGGTGAAATGTTTTTGTTTTTTTACAAATGTATACTGCTATGAAAGTTGGTACTACAGCAAAACTGCAGCCATTTAGATGAAAGAACACGATACTCAATCCATAATGTATTGAAATGTCAAATGGATTTGTAGTTCCTGTAATCCTCATTTTATTATTTTATTATTTTTCACTTTCCCCCAGATCGACCAGGACATCCACAGGAAGTACACCCTGTCATCTGATGCAGAGTTGATCTTAATCAGATCCTTGACTTTGGGCAAAGTCATCGGTAAGCCTTCCTATGAAATTATACTGCCACGCAGGGAGCTATTTTAAATAATGAAATGAGGAGAACCATTTAGTGGAACCATACTATAGTGATACTGAAGATGCATGGACTGTGCCATTTAATCAAGTTTAGGTTTTTACACGTGTGCTGTTTTTGACTTAATGTTGAACTGCTCACACCCATTTCCCCAAATGTTCTAACCCTGTCTCAGAATAGCTTTTGTAATCCCAAACTTGCAGATTTAAAGATTTGACCGTCATTGCTGAAGGATAATTATTTTTATATCCCTCACTGCTGTTGCCATAGAAACCTTTATCTTTAATTCAGGAGGGAAATAAGGCTGAATCTAATACAGGCTGAATAAAGATTCATTGATGGAACCTAAAACGGTGCTGTCAGATAGCATAGAAAGGTTTTCAACAATAACCTAAACAGAAAGCAAACTCTCTCACCTCCTCTCCCTCGCTTTCCCCCTCTAATGAAGATATATTAAAAATGCTCTGCAAACATATCTTCCCCAATGACTAATTTGTACATCATGAAGTATGTTTTGTTTGTTTTAGTTTTCAAGAGGCCCATTCTCTTGTGGATCACTTTCCAGTGGGAGACTGCAGCTATAACGCTTCAATGTTAATTCTGTATAACAGGAGGTGAGAATTTTGATGAGGAAGTGATGCAGGCAGGATCGATGGGCTTCATTGGCTGCCTGTCATCCGTCCAGTTCAATCACGTGGCTCCGCTGAAGGCAGCGCTACTGAACCGTGGCAGCTCATTGGTCAGTGTACGGGGTCACCTGGTGGAGTCTAACTGTGGGGCGCTGGCTGACTCAACAACCTCACACCCACTCTCAGGTATGTGCTGCTGTTGTAAAACACAGTCTCCACTCAGCTAACCTGATAAAACAAGTAAATGAGATCCTTTACTCTGCCACGGCTGTTCAGCTTTCACAGCGGAAGCCATTTGGAGCTATGTGGAATCGACTGTGGATGTTCACAGTCTCGCCTCCGGCTTAAAGCATCATTATTAAGTTTTCAGATGAATCAGGAACGAGTCAACAATGAGCTAATGCCTGCCAGCCTAATGGAACTTTGGTTTTTCATTGTTAACGCAGTTACACAAATAAGTTATCTTCTGCCACATACACCCTGTTGAGGAACATCCATTTGCTGCACAGCTCGTTCACTCATTACTGAAAGTTAATGAATGAGCTTTACTTCCAGATCAAGCTGCGAAACCAAACAAAGATCGGGAGCAGCGTGGTAATGACAGCCGGCGTGAATCGGCAGTAATAGGAGGTTTGTTTCTCTATTTTGTCTTAATTTATTTTTCTGGTGTTAGTATAAAACAAGTCCCAGCTGTCACTTTATTTCACTTTCTTTCTTTCTTTCTTTCTTTCTTTCTTTCTTTCTTTCTTTCTTTCTTTCTTTCTTTCTTTCTTTCTTTCTTTCTTTCTTTCTTTCTTTCGCTCTCGATCACTCTCTCACCTTACAATGGCTGTCACTCTGATTGTTACAGCTGCAATATGTAACTTTTTTGAGCTACCTGACCAAATTCACATAGAAATGTGTGTTGTATATCTGTCATTTTCATTGAAAGCAAGTCTAAGAAGTGGTAGATCTGTTATATGTGCACTATTTCTATGCTTCCCTCTCTTAAGTTTCGTTTTTGCGTCTTCTACTTCCAGTTTTGTATAGCACCTTCAAACAGCTGAAAATACAATATTTTTGATTATGGAAAATATATTTCACAGCGGTGTAGATGGTACAATGATTCTCTACACTATACTTGCTTGTTTTGTCACATATACTGAAATTAAGTTAACTATTAGAATTTTAGCAACCAGGTAATGGCGCAGCAATTTCTGCATAGTGCATCTTTAAGTCCAGGATAACGTATTTCTAATAAATTGAGAGGTACCATGAAATGAGTCATGACCCCAGCCCCCCTCAGATGTTATAACTAAAATGGCTGCCCTTGCTCCCCCGCAGGTGTGGTGTCAGCAGTGGTCTTCATTACTCTGTGTGTAGTGGCGGTGATGACCCGTTTCCTGTACCAGCACCGGCAGGCCCAGAGAGACGCCAGCATCAAGGAGAAGGAGCACCGAACCAACCTGGAAACACCCTACCGGAGAGAAGCAGCCTACCAGACAGAACTAGCCTATCGGACAGAGCTCCACCTCCATGACAGTCATAGCTCCACCCTCAGGAACAACAGGGAGTACTACATCTGAACACAGTGTCCAGGCAAGCCTTCTAGCCATCGTTGCTTACCTCTCTTCTGTTTTGTCTAGCTGTCTGCACGGGATGAGGCAACCTTTTTCCTCCCTCCTCTGGGGTAGAAATGAAGAATTCCTTCTCCTTTAGGGAACTGTGGGAATATCCTGGTGGGGAATTTCTTCCCATTTCTGTGTAGATACTCCGTAGGACAGGACTTGTAGCTGCAAATATGTTGACCGGTCGGCTCACGAATGCTGGTGATGGGACAGGAAAACAGTGCCGTAATAGATTGAGGCATATGGCTATGGTGCAATGGATTTATCCAATGAAAGAAATGCAAATAGCCTGGAAAGGTTAGACTAGGCAATGTTATGGTAAAAGTAGGCAATGTTATGGGAAAAAGCTACAATGGTGACTCAATGGATGTATATGGCCAAGATTAAACTATCCCACTGTCGCGTGGGGAAGAAATCTCCTGACGCACAGAATCTACACACAGATGCAATGAATCTATTTCAAATACTTAAGAAAAGGGCAAGGTGTTCAACAGGTTTCACATCTGTGCCATTGATGTAATACAGAGGGTCAATACAGAGTGGCTTGCCTTCAGAGGGCAGGGAGACTATTCAGCCACCATTTTGATGGTAATTACAGTACCGCAATGCAGTGCGCTGGGGATGGTTGAAAAGGCTCAATGCAAAGGCCATCTTAGATAACATAATATTAAATAACACGTTAGAGTAAGACAAGTATTGTTTAATTAAGATGAAATTTACTAAATCTACAACAACAACAAAAAATATGAATCCCTAAATAAAGCCATTTAAAAATGACATCAATACAAGAGACAGGTGCCTGGACCGGTTTTCCTACATTATTCTTTGAAAGTTTGATTGAATATCATTGTTCTTTTCTGCCCAATGTTCTTGAGGTTTCTAAGCAGTAGGCTAGGCTACTTTGTATTGCTGCAAGGAAGGGAATGTAAAACGAACCCAGCTAACTGGAACATCTGCTACCTGTCCCCTAGCAAGAGAACCAACCCATCACATCCCACTCAAGTGGCTGCCGGCCAATGTGTTAGAAGAGTCTTCAAAGAGCTGCCATATACAAAGCTTTAGTTGTTCTTCATGTTCTCCTGAGCTCTTTATATTTTCTTTGTATTTTTTCATTGTTTCGTTTTGATTGTTTCCATTTGTTCTGTCACACCTTTGATCCTGGTCATGCATTTGTGACAATTTTTATATCTTATTTTTTATTTGAAGTTTTTTAATTCATTGGTTAGGTACTGATTGTCAACAGTATCCCTGTGTTAGATCTACATTTTAAGGTGATTAGTATTTACTGGATGATGGATGTTAATGCTTAGCTTAGTTTTATTTTCCTCCTACAATTAAGTGGGAAAGGATCATCAGCACTAAGTGCAAAATAACCCAGTTTGACAGTTTATAAACAACAAAATCAGAGAATGAAAATGCATACGCTAAACTCTTTCATGAGCAACAAGTCATACACACCCACCATCACAAAATAATAAGATTGGCAGAAGTATTGCCTGAAAACATTTTTCTTTCAAATTAAAGTGTCCTTGACAGCAAGTTATAATTAACCTCTGAGACTCCTATTTGTACTTGTTGATATTGTGATTACTTTGAGTGCCAATTTTGTATGGCTATAATTGTACAGGTATATTATGAATATATGTTTAATAAAACCAAACATTCTTTTTTGAAAAATAACGATATTTTCCAGATGTTTTATCTCAACCGTTCTCTTTCTTCTTTTCTCTGATACTCTGTCACACACGTTTGTTTTTGGGCTTTGAATACAGTATATGTATTTGTGGTACAATATACAAATGCATATAATTTAATATGCAGTTCATATCGTATTTACCTGTGGGCTGCCACTCCAAAAGAAGAAGAAAAAACATTTAGAAAAAAAGTACATAAATACAAAGTATTGATCATTATGATCATATTATAGAGTTAGAGAAGTAATAATACATTTAGTATGTAAAGGAAAAGAACTGAGCCAACCTCCCATCCCATCCCGTTCTCCCAACCACACCCATCCAACATGTGAATATTTACATTCATGCACTTCAAAATGAATGCGACTTTGTCCCAGAAATATTTAACTGAAGGGCACTCCCACATCATATAAAGGAATGTGTCTACTTGATTTAGGGGACACAGTCGCCAGTTAGGCGTTAGAGACAATTTCATCGCAAAATGTTTCCTTGGTGCTAAATGACGTAAATGTAAATGTGTTATATACAGTCTGTGAACAAACTTAAAATGTATAAGTTGATGATTCGGATTACGGGATGACAAGGTCAAATTTGTCCATATTCTGCTCCAGTTAAAGGGTTTTTCAGATTCACTTAGATCTGTGGACCATACTTTTTTCTCAGAATATGAGCTTTCCAAAGTGGTTCAGTAATTGGGTTTCCCAAGGGACTCCGTAGGCCAGCATAGCTGACCTAAGTTGTAAATATACACTACCGGTTAAACATTTTAGAACACCTACTCATTCAAGGGTTTTTATTTATTTTTTACTATTTTCTACATTGTAGAATAATAGTGAAGACATCACAACTATGAAATAACACATATGGAATCATGTAGTAACCAAAAAAGTGTTAAACTAATCAAAATGTATTGTACACTGCTCAAAAACATAAAGGGAACACTAAAATAACACATCCTAGATCTGAATGAATGAAATCATCTTATTAAATACTTTTTTCTTTACATAGTTGAACGTGCTGACAACAAAATCACACAAAAATTATCAATGGAAATCAAATGTATCAACCCATGGAGGTCTGGATTTGGAGTCACCCTCAAAATTAAAGTGGAAAACTACACTACAGGCTGATCCAACTTTGATGTAATGTCCTTAAACAAGTCAAAATGAGGCTCGGTAGTGTGTGTGGCCTCCACGTGCCTGTATGACCTCCCTACAACGCCTGGGCATGCTCCTGATGAGGTGGCAGATGGTCTCCTGAGGGATCTCCTCCCAGACCTGGACTAAAGCATCTGCCAACTCCTGGACAGTCTGTTGTGCAACGTGGCGTTGGTGGATGGAGCGAGACATGATGTCTCAGATGTGCTCAATTGGATTCAGGTCTGGGGAACAGGCGGGCCAGTCCATAGCATCAATGCCTTCCTCTTGCAGGAACTGCTGACACACTCCAGCCACATGAGGTCTAGCATTGTCTTGCATTAGGAGGAACCCAGGGCCAACCGCACCAGCATATGGTCTCACAAGGGGTCTGAGGATCTCATCTCGGTACCTAATGGCAGTCAGGCTACCTCTGGCGAGCACATGGAGGGCTGTGCGGCCCCCCAAAGAAATGCCACCCCACACCATGACTGACCCACCATCAAACCGGTCATGCTGGAGGATGTTGCAGGCAGCAGAACGTTCTCCACGGCGTCTCCAGACTCTGTCACGTCTGTCACGTGCTCAGTGTGAACCTGCTTTCATCTGTGAAGAGCACAGGGCGCCAGTGGCGAATTTGCCAATCTTGGTGTTCTCTGGCAAATGCCAAACGTCCTGCACGGTGTTGGGCTGTAAGCACAACCCCCACCTGTGGACGTCGGGCCCTCATACCACCCTCATGGAGTCTGTTTCTGACCGTTTGAGCAGATACATGCACATTTGTGGCCTGCTGGAGGTCATTTTGCAGGGCTCTGGCAGTGCTCCTCCTGCTCCTCCTTGCACAAAGGCGGAGGTAGCAGTCCTGCTGCTGGGTTGTTGCCCTCCTACGGCCTCCTCCACGTCTCCTGATGTACTGGCATGTCTCCTGTTAGCGCCTCCATGCTCTGGACACTACGCTGACAGACACAGCAAACCTTCTTGCCACAGCTCGCATTGATGTGCCATCCTGTATGAGTTGCACTACCTGAGCCACTTGTGTGGGTTGTAGACTCCGTTTCATGCTACCACTAGAGTGAAAGCACCGCCAGCATTCAAAAGTGACCAAAACATCAGCCAGGAAGCACAGGAACTGAGAAGTGGTCTGTGGTCACCACCTGCAAAACCAGACCTTTATTAGGGGTTTCTTGCTAATTGCCTATAATTTCCACCTGTTGTCTATTCCATTTGCACAACAGCATGTGAAATGTATTGTCAATCAGTGTTGCTTCCTAAGTGGACAGTTTGATTTCACAGAAGTGTGATTGACTTGGAGTTACATTGTGTTGTTTAAGTGTTCCCTTAATTTCTTTGAGCAGTGTATATTTGAGATGCTTCAAATAGCTACCCTTTGCTTTGATTACAGCTTTGCATACTCTTGGCATTCTCTCAACCAGCTTCATGAGGTAGTCACCTGGAAATGCATTTCAATTAACAGGTGTTCTTTCTTAAAAGTTGATTTGTGGAATTTCTTTCCTGCTTAATGCGTTTGAGCCAATGTGTTGTGTTGTGACAAGGTGGGGGGGGGACCAAGTCCATATTATGACAAGAAAGCAAAGAGAAACGACAGTCCATTACATTTACATTTTAGTCATTTAGCAGACGCTCTTATCCAGAGCGACTTACAGGAGCAATTAGGGTTAAGTGCCTTGCTTAAGGGCACATCGACAGATTTTTCACCTAGTCGGCTCGGGGATTAGAACCAGCGACCTTTCGGTTACTGGCACAACGCTCTTACCCACTAAGCTACCTGCCGCCCGAGGCATTACTTGAAGACATGAATGTCAGTCAATACGGAAAATGTCAAGAACTTTGAAAGTTTCTTTAAGAAAGAAGATGAAACTGTCTCTCAATAGGACTGCCACAGGAAAGGAAGACCCAGAGTTACCTCTGCTGCAGAGGATAAGTTCATTAGAGTTACCAGACTCAGAAATTGCAGCCCAAATAAATGCTTCACAGAGTTCAAGTAACAGACACATCGCAACATCAATTGTTCAGAGGAGACTGTGTGAATCAGGCCTTCATGGTCGAATTGCTGCAAAGAAACCACTACTAAAGGACACCAATAAGAAGAAGAGACTTGCTTGGGCTA